GACGGGGCCCTGCAGGGCCTCGCAGGGCGCCCCGGATGCGATATCGTGGCCTCGCAGGGCATCCCCAGATCTTTGAAGGGGCCCTGGGACACACAAGTAAATACACACAAATAAATAGATTCCCCATATTTTCACATATTTTCTGGGTTTCCCATATTTTCCTGGTGATCGACGAATAATTGTGTCTGTGTGTATTTTTCCCTCCTGAATCTTGGCCCGGATCAGCACGGAGCCGGCAGCGTGCGCGCGGTCAGGAACCTCTGCCCAGCTCGTCGCGGCGGCGGTCCCGGCACTGTTGCCCTGCAAGCGGGCAGCGCGTCGCTCCGCTCCGCGGGGCGGGAGGCTGGGCAGGGCTCGGGACGTCGATGATGCTCGGGGGCTGGGAAGTGGTCGGTGTGCCGCGGCGAACCGTGGTGTGCCAGGCCCAGCAGCGCGACAGGATGCACGATGCAGGAGCGGCGTGCGCAGAGGCGCGCCCTGCGCGGGCAGCCGCGAGCCTTCCTCTAAGCCACCATCCGTCCCGTCTCCCGCGCCCTCTCACATCCTCGCACGTCACCACGCTGCATCACTCTCGCGCTCTAGTCAGGCCATCGTTTATCGGCCGCCCTGTAATTGGGCTGGCGCCTGGAAGGCTCCCATCGCTGTGCAACTTGGCCCCACCTGTGGTCAGTGCGCGACTGTGAATTATGACGTGCTCTGGCTGCCCTCTCCCTCTGACATTGCAGCCGCGTGGGTAGGCAAGCCGGCGGCGCGACACGCAGAGCCAACGTTTTTAACACGGCATATATCCTGGGGCCTGGGCCTCACGTGGCCACTCCGAGCGATCGATGAAAAAAAAACGCCTAACGCCGCAGCCTGGGAGCCGCTTCGCCCCCTGCCTGACGCCGGGGGATCATATTAAGTCGGGCATGTCCTCCTACAGGCGGATCCTGGACGAACCTGTTCTTTTACAAAACACAAAAAAACATCTTTGAGCACTACGGAATCAGGTCAAAGAAGTAAAACAAATCGTCCCCAGGCCAAGTTTGATGTTTCTTACTCTGTGCTGTGTACGTACTGTGTGCGGTGTTGTAAAAAAAGGGCCTGGGCGCCCGCTCCGCCCCTGCCGGCTTCGGAGTCGGCGGTGGACCAGCCTCCCTTTGGCAAACCACCCTCCAGTGAGAACGGCCTATAGGACCGACGCCGACGGACCTGGACCCGCAAAGGTGACGGCCGCGACGCCCTCTCGCGGACCGAAAACGGCCAACTCGCTACCAATCGACGCGGCAGGGTAGGAGGTCGATGAACCTCCGACAGAGGGGGGGGGGGACTTTGAAGCGTCCCTCACGCTCGTGGGAGGCGGGGCGCAGCTCGAAGAGGCGGGGGGCCCAGCACCCACAGGGAGCAGCAAAAGACACCAAGACATCGAGGAGAGGAGCACAACGCCTGCCAGCCCTCGAGGAGAGGGAGCACACAGGCACCCAGCCCTCGGGGGGAGGAGCGCAGCGAGCGCTTCCAGCCCCCGAGGACAGGGCGGAGCACAGCTTCCAGCCCTCGAGGGGGGGGAGCAAAAGCAAACAGCCAGCCCTCGAGGGGAGCGCAGAGCTTCCAGCCCTCGAGGAGGGGGAGCAAAAGCAAACAGCCAGCCCTCGAGGGGGGCGCAGAGCTTCCAGCCCTCGAGGGGGGGGGGAGCAAAAGCAAGCAGCCAGCCCTCGAGGAGGGGAGACCCCCCCTATCCCCCGCCTCTGGCGCGAGGAGGTGGCGGCGGAGAGCGGGCGCCGCGGCTCTCCAGCTCGCCCCAACGGGGGCCCTGAGTCAAGGGCGCGCAGGTGGGGCGGGAGGATCGCGCCGCGCCGCATCGCCGAAGCATCCGCGATGCATCTCGGAAACTCGGGCGTTGGTCGCAGTCAGATCTAAGCCCGTATCATAAGGGTGCGCGATAAGGATGCAGGGGCCTTGGAAGGCCGTTTCGAAACGTTCCGGGCGTGGCGCGGCCAGCGGAAATGGCCAAGGACGGACCGAGAAGGCAAGGATGCAGCAAGGCTACCCATAAGGAGGTTGCCCATCCTTATTATGCGGAAACGCGTGCCTTTTCGTGTCGCTTTCGACCCCAGTGCGACTTTAGGGCCTCTTCAGGGTACAGGAGATGCACCTTTCTTCCCCCCCCCCCATCTGTCGTCCCTCCCCCTTACGCAATGCCCGAGCATCCGCGATCTTCTCCATCCAGGCGTCGTGCCGACGCAGCGGCGGTGCGCCGCGACGGCCCGACCCTCCAGAGCCGTCGGAACTGTCTCCGGGACGGACCACTTGCTTCATCGGATCTCGCGAACCCTTCGGGAGAGTCCCGGGGCACAGGGCGAGCCTCCGGACGCCGGCAAAAATTGCCGCACGCCTCCCGTATGCAGCCCGTCCGGGCCACCGGAAGGCGGGGACGTTGCTGCTCCTCCGTGTCGAGGGGTCCAGGGGGCCTCGTGGCAGACGGAAGGGTCAACTGCGGGGAGGGGGGGCAGCGGGCCACGCGATACCTCCTTCCAAGGGCGGGGGCGGCACCGTAGGATCGGGTCTGTCATGTCCTCCTACCTTCGGATTCGGAGGAAAAACGACACGCATACCCAAACATGGCCAGAATAGTAGAAAAATCGTCCCCATACGATTTGTTGACTATGGTTGAATATTCCTCCTGACGAGGTGCAGGTCCGACTTAACCAAGGGGTGGCATGAAGAGGATAGTTGATATGTGTCGGTCGTACATCCGCCACCCTTGAGGGATCCAAATTGCAGGGTGCGGACCCTGCAACTTGGATCCCCGTTGAGGGGAAGGGGACTCCACTCCTCTATGCTGCGCACCAGCCAAGGAGCAGGTCGGGGAGGACGAGGAGGGACGAGGAGAACAGGCGGATGAGGACAGGAGGTCGTAGGAGAAGAGCTTTCTGGGGGGGGGGGGCGTAGCATCTTCGATAGGGTGTCTGAGCAACCTGCATGTCCTTCCCTGGGCGCCGTGCGGATTCCATTCTGTCAGTCCCGAGCGGCGAGCGCATACGCATCCATGCCCTCGCGATCATTTGGACGCCCGAAATGGGTACGGAAAGAATGGGTAAAATGCCGAAATGCCCAACAACAAATGTTGTCCCAAACCAACAGCGGCCGCTGTTGGGAAGGCGGCCTTCTGTCTCGAATGGACACAGGCAGCGGCGGCGTGGACAGCGAGTCCTGTTCAAAATGAACCAGATCCGCCGTTGGGCATTGCACCCATTCTTGCCGTGCCCATCTCGTTCGTGCAGAGATCAGAATCCCAAGGCGGGCGTCCCAGGGCCGGCGAGGACACCGAAATGCAAAGGGATTGAAAGACCTTCCGTCGTGATTTTCGTCACGACGCGAGCGCGTCTGGGGGGACAGACCCTCCTCCCGCCGAGAGCGACTGCACCCGCACCCGCCCGCAGCCAGTTGCTGCTCCCCGTGCTTCGCCTCCCGCTCCGCGCTTTCCCCCTCGTAAGAACGACCATGGGCTATTCAGCCATATTACACGGCCAAAAAGCGGGACGAGGCTCAAGTTAGCCGGATTAAACCCAGGATTGAACCGAACAGCCGGAGTATGAGAGGGATTGAGAGCAAGGAGACGAGAATAGGTAGGATTGTATAGGCCGGTGTTCGACCACAGGTATGCCAGCGCCGATGATGAGTTCAACCTCCCCAAAATTGCATCCGAACCTTAAAGCGCGCAAACAGCTGGCGGTGCAGCCATGTTGATCCGTCAAGGATGGTTCCCCTCACCCCCGGATGGGGCATCAAACTGGAGTTAGCAGTAGAGAAACAGAGAATGACCAGCCCAAAACTAATCCCTGTCCATGAGATCGGCACGCACAAGGCGATGAGGAATCGAAGGGACGCGGCCTCGAAAACTGGAAGAATCCTTCAGATCGGCATCGAGATGAGGCCATGCAACTAATAGGAATAAGGATCTGTTCCAGGCTGGTCACAGAGGCCACGAGAAGCATGGACTCTCGCAGGGGTCGGGGCAGGTAATTGGCCATGTCCCAAGGACACCCCGAGATGGGGGGGGAGGGGAACGACCAAACAGCGACGAGGGAGGGCCGCACGAACCTGGAAGGGCGGGGAGAGAATGACCACTTCGGGCATCTTCTGACCCGGGTCAATCCAGACCCGGGTCAGCAGGAAACCAAAAACTGCAATGCAGGACAAAAAACTGGAACGCGGGTCTTCGCAAACCCGGGTCAGCCATTAGGCGCGGCCACCTCGCGGCCACGAGCGGCTCGCTAACCTGGGTCAGCCAGAAGGGGTCTTCGCAGGATCCTGCAGGATCTGGCGCCTGGGCTGACCCCCGTTTGCATTGACCCCCGTCTCGAGGCTCCCGACCACTGTTCGTTGGACCACTGATGCCGGGATGGCGCGGGCAGCCCGCCCCACGAAGCTCGCTGTGTGCCCGAAGGCCTCGGGGCCGCAGCGCCGGGGCGCGTCGGCGGGAAGGGCGCGGCCTCGGCCCCGGCCCCGGCCGGGGCAGACGCGACCGGCCCCCCCCCTGGGGAGGAGAGCGGAGAGTGACCGCGGGCGAAGAGAGGCACGAAAACACACTCGTCCGCCGTCGGGGAGGCCGGTCCCCAGCAGGGCCGTTGGCGAATCTCTGCCCCATGCGCGGCACGTGGGGGTGTAGACTTCCTGGCCGCCCGGGGGGCAGGCGGCCGCGACGGCGGAGAGAAGTGTGCTCTCTGCCGCTCGTCGTCCCCCTCATTGCCAGCCTGGAACATATCCCTTATCCCTGTGCTGGGCACCTCCTCATTACGATGCCAGTCTCAGGGGTTTCCTTACGCTTTCCAGGCGAATCCCTGAGATCGTCATGGCCTTTTGGCGTGCCAATCTCGAGGATAAGGATACGCTCGAGGCCAGTAACCTAAGAGAGAGGGGGGGGGGGCAGGGAGCGGTGCGCAGGGGAGAGGGGCCGGGAGGAGGCGCCACGCGGCGGCCGGCCGCTCCCTCCTCGCGCCCCCGCCGCCCTCGCGCAGAGCCTTCGCCGCCCTCGCGCTGCGGCGGCCGCGCCATGGGCGTGAAGCTGGGGGCGCACGCGGCCGCTCTTTCACGGGGCGCGCCGGGCGCGGACGCCGCCCGCCCGCTTCCTGCTGGGGTTAGGTCGGGCCTGTCCCCCTACACCCTGCAAAATGCTTAAGAAACCATGGGTTAAGAAATTCAGAGTCTCAGAACTGGAATAAAAACCCAGAACTTCTATCAAAATCTTGGGATTTACATTGACAAGTTAAGAATAATCAAGACTCTGGCCGAAAACTTAGGTTTTCTTAAGCATCGCCTAAGGTGTACAGGCGGATTTCGGACGAAAAGCGAAAGTATTCCCCAAGACGCCCGAAACATGTCGAGGATAGCCACCGCATCGTCCCCAGACCCCAGACCCCCGACGTAATGTTTTTTTCATTACGTCGACCCCCAGAGGTCCCGACCCTTTCCCCATGACCGGCTTTGCACCCTGAGTCGTTTTTTTGACGCTCCCGAGGCCCGGTGAGGGCCCCTGGAGGCCGAAAATAGCGAAAAACCTCCCGTCGTGATTTTTTCATTACTCAAGGGGGTCTGGGACTGCTGCTCGACCAGTTTTTGAAGGTTCCTCCCGTAGAGGACATGCCCGACGCGGTGCTCGGGAGAGGCCGCGGCCGGCTGGGTGCCCACCGTGTGCCGCACTTCTCTGGAGGAAGAAGGGGCCGGGGCGCCGGAGGCTGGGCGGCAGAGGCAGCCTGAGTCATCGGAAGGCCCAGACCCCCTCGAGTCATGAAAAACTCACTACGCGAGGTTTTTCGCTATTTGCGGCCTCTGGGGACCCTTATAAGGCCCTCAGGACCGTCAAAAAACGACTCAGGATGAAAAGCCGGTCCCGGGGAATGGGTCCGGACCTCTGGGGGTCGCGTCATGAAAAAATCATGACGTGGGGGGTCTGGGGGTATTGAGCCGAAGGCCCCCACCACCCCTTCGTGATCCCAGACGGTGCTTGGCGGGATGGGGGTCCTGCGTGGACGGCGTGCGTCACCGGCCAACCACGTGCAGATCACGGAATGGTGATCGGGCCCGTTTGGCCAGTTTCGGGCCTGCGGGCGGTGGCAACACGAGCCACCCTCGCACTGACCACCAGGCCGTGAATTCCAGCAGCTGGAGCGCCCGGTGGCTCCACGTGGACGTGCTCCATCCGGGCTCCGCGTCGCCCGAGCGGAGGCCCACACTGTGGTACGAGGCTGACCCCAACCACGGCGGGGGCTTTGGATGAGGACACCGTGGGTAGGGAGTCCAGAATCTGGAAGCCCGCGGAACCTCAGTGGCGGATCGGCAGTGGGCATCGCCGCCGCCCTCGTCAGATGAGAGCTTCTTCAGGGTCTGACGCCGCCCGGGCGCATTCCTCAACCAACACCCCCGCCGCACGACGAAGCCAGGTCCAGGACAGACTCATCGGACCGGGGCGCGTCGGGGACCTCCGAGAGCCCGCAGCTCAGGAGCCGCAGCCGTTCCAGAGCCTTCGGGAACGCTCCGAGGCGACTTGCAGGCAGCCCGTATACGAGGGACGCACCTTAATTTTTCCTGATTCTATACATGTTTAGGTAACGTGAAGGGAACCTCCCCAAACAAAATATGTTTGAGGCCAATTTGAATCCACCAAAATATGCTTGAGATCCGTGTAAAACCAGAGTTTTAAATGTTTTAAAACTCTCGATGTCACTTATCAAACTCATGCTTTCGATCGAGATGCAAGATGCAAGGGCCTCGGAAGGCCGTGCCGCCACTTCTTGTGCGCGCGGGGCGCGCCCAGCGCGAGCGCGGCCAAGGATGGGGCCGACGGGGGAAGGCTGAATGGGGCCCTGGGACACACAGGAATCACAAGAGTCCCCTTTTTCCCCATCAAGAGCCCCCCAAGAGGCCCTGGGGGCCTCCAAAACGCCGCCAAGGAGCCCCAAGAGACTCCCAAGAGGTCCCCAAGAGGCCCCCAAGAGGCCCTAAAGAGGGCTCCAGGGCCGGCGGCATGAGCGAAGCGATGAAATAACAAGATTCCCCTTTTTCCCCATCTGTTCTGGATTTGTGCCCTTCCCCCCACTTCCCATATTTTCCGAGATGTTCTGGGGAGCCGACGATTACTTGTGTCTGTGTTATTTTGCCTCCTGGAAGATGCAAAGGGCAACCTTGGAACGTTGCCGTTCCTTACTATTCCGGGATCTTCTGACCCGGGTCAATCCAGACCCTGGTCAATCAGGCCTTGCAGGATCAGTGCAGTGTACCCCAGCCCGGGTCAAGGTACCCCTGGCCCTGCACCCCGAGCCCTGGTCCATGCGCCCTGGCCCAGGCGCTCTGGCTGACCCCCGTTTGCATTGACGACGCGGGCGGACTGTCTTCCGGCCCTCGCCCCGCCCGAAGAGAAAGGCTTCCACGGCACCCGATCGCCGATCCCACAGGACGCGGCGTCGCCCGAGGGAAGCTAGCACCTGGCATTGAGTCGGCGGTGGACAAACCTCCCTTTAGTACACCTTCCTTTAGTGAACACGGCCTGGGACCGAAACCGACGGACCCGGACCCGCAAAAATGACGGCCGCGACGCCCTCTCGCGAAGCAAAAACGGCCAATTCCTGAATCGACGTGTCAGGGTAGGAGGTCTGTCCACCCCCGATTGAGGGCCGCCAAGCGGACGGGTGGACTGTATTCTGGTCCTCGCCCCGTCCGAGGAAAGGCCGCGACGGCCCAACGATCCCACAGGACGCCGCGTGGCGCCAGAGCGAGGCCGGTGCCCGGAGCATGGAGGGCCGCCCAGCGGAGCCCCGTTGCTCCGGCCAGAACTGCTGCAGAGCAGACGTCACCTTAGGTCGGGCACGTCCACCTACAGGCGGATTGAAATCATCTTCAACAATGATACGTAAAACATAATCAATAAACATATAACATGAAATCATCTTCAACAATGAATCCACCTTAGGTCGGGAAGAAACATAACACATAGTCAAATCATCTTCAAACGTAGCCCGAGAACATATAGAATCGTCCCCAGACTGTGTTTCGACCATGTTTGAAGATTTCTCCTGTAGAGAGAGACGTGCCCGACTGAAACGCAGCGCCGGGCGACCTCCCGGCTCGTGCTCCGCAGAGGGAGGCGGGGGAGGAGCAGAGGCCACGGGAACGGAGGAGCAGCATGGGTCGAGGGGGGGAGGCCGGAGGAGGGCCCTCGGAAAGGTACCCCTACCTCTACCCCCTCGCCCGTTCTCCGCTTCTCGGGCCTCCTCGGAGGCCCTCGTCGCCACCGCTGGACCCGCCTCGAAGTCCTGGTCCGAACGCACTTCGGGAGAGGTCGGGGGGGGCAGCGGCCTCGGTACCTTGTGGTTCCCCCGGGGCCCGCGCCGAGAGGGCCAGCTCGGCGATCCCAGGAGAGCCGAGCACTCCGGGCCGTGCGCTCACGCGATCCTTTGCTCGATGGCGGCCAAGATGGGTGCGTGAGGTTGGGCCGCCACCGTCGCCACCCCAACCAGCACCGCCGCCGTCAACGCCATCGGCAAATTGTTATCGCCACCACCGGCTTCCACACCCACGACCTCCGACTCCAGGGCTCTCACGAGTCTGCGGGATCTACGAGGGTGGCACAGTGAGGTGTAGCCTGGGGAGATGCATGAGGGGGGAGGGGGGCCGGACAACAGACCCGACGGGACCCCCCCGCCCGTTCTTCGACGGGATCCCCGGGGGAAGGAGGGGCCGAGAGGGAGTTCTAGGACTTTCTAGTAGGTTGGCGTCGCGCGATCGCCCCGAAACGGCACGAAGTCCAGGCAGAGAAGAAAAGCGATGGCCAACAGCGCGACGGCGACGACGAACGGCCACCGAGGAAGGGAACGGCAGACGCACAAGCGCAGCGCGACGACAGACGACGACATGCGGCGGCGGCAGCAGCCCAACGTGCTGGCCGACGAACCGCCGTCCCTCGCGGCACAGCTCCCAACCTGTGCCGACTCGCCGTATGGGGGAAATTAGGGGGCCACATGCGAACCCTACCCCTACCCCCCACGACTTCTGAGGGGCCCTCCCCCTCAGAAGTCGTGGGGGGTAGGGGTAGGGTTCGCATGTGGCCCCCTAGGAAGGGAAGGAGGGGAAACGGGGCGGGGAAAGCCGTCCTCGTCGCCTTCGAAGCCATGTCGTCAACAAAAAGACCGACGTCCTGAAGCTGCCCAGCAATCCGGTGAGGCCGCCCACCCCCATGGTGCCCTGCAGCGTAGGGCTTCCCAGCGTAGAGCTGCCTGGAGGACGGGGCGATCACGACGACGACGACGACGACGACGACGACCTTCGGAGGCATCCAGGATCCAGGGGCCTTCCTGGTCTCCGGAGTCCTCCAGAGGTCTTGGAAGCCCAACGGCAGCCGAAATCCAAAACCTGTGTCTTCTGTATACCTTCGATCCTCGACGACGACGACGACCACGACGACGAGCACGACGACGTCGTCCTAGGCAATGCCAAGGGGGTCACCATTTGAGGGAGTCGCCACCTCGGGGAGGGATCCTCAGGACCCCACGAACCCCCTTAACCCTCGGCAACACTCCATCCCCAGAAACCTGACCTCGGAGAAGGGCTACTTGAGACAACGGCGGCTGACCCGCCCTGCCCAAATAGAGGCCTCCTAAGGGGTCGGAAAAGACGGGGTCGGAGGATCGCGCCGCATCGCCGATACATCGCCGATATATCGCGATGCATCCGCGATGCATCGTCGACGTCGGCGATGCATCGACGTCCGCGTGAAGAAAATCGGTCTCCACATCGAGCCACATCGGCGATGCATCGGCGATGCGACGCGATCCTCCGATCTCATCTGGGAGGCCTGGAGACAGCGGCGCTAACCCGCGCAACCCGCAAATTCGCTGGTAGCCCCTGGGGGAACCAAAAGGTACCGATACCGCTACTCCCCGGACCTCTCCTGACCAGGATTTCGAGGCGAATCCAGCGGTGGCGACGAGGGAAGCCCAGGAGGCCCACAGAGGGGAAAACAAGGAGAAGGTAGAGGTATGGGTACCTTTTCCTCCTCTGACTTCCTGGGTCCGTCCTGACCCGATCTGTTCTCGAGACGGACGGAGGGAGGGAGGGAGGGAGGGAGGGAGGGAGGGAGGGAGGGAGGGCCAGCCGAACGGCGACGAGAAGCCGCCGGGAGGGAGCCCCCCAAAGGAAAAGACGAGCAGCAACAGAAAGCCAGGGAGGCCCGCCGAGGAGGCCTCCTCCTACCAAGCCCTCGCCCGATCAGCTCGTTCCTGTAGGGGATACAGTTAGAGGAAAAAGAACTATGCACATACACCGATTCTGGCCAGACCCATCCTGAGCCCAGGATCGGTGCATATGCCCTCCTACCTTGGCCAGGAAGGCATATGCACCGATCCTGGGTCAAGGATGGACGTTGTCAGGATCGGTGCATGTGCATATTTCTCTTCGCCCGAACAGTCGGGCTGCTGAAATAAGGAACGCTAAATAACGAAGCCCCTTCTGTGGCTAGAGGAACAGGTACTGCGGAAGGACGCAAGGAACATCGAGCCCCTTCCGAATCCAAGTTGTTCCTCATTTCAGCGTCTTGGCTGTAGCAAATGATTTTCCCATGGGCACGGCTGCCAAAAATGGGCTCGGAAGGGAGTCGGAAAACTGGCATACGGCACCCCTTTTGCCAAACTACGTGCATACACGTACCACAAATGGACGGTTTCGTCGGTTTGGCCGGATACATCCCGCGAAAAATGACCCACGGCAACCCCGCCCCAAAATGATGTAGTTTGGCGGCGCATTTTTGTAGCCGTGCCCCCAAGAATATAGTTCCTGAGAGGAACAAAATTCGGCTTAAGCATAAACTTTTGGCGTTCCGCGCGGATGTCGTGGATCTGCGCTGGACTCCGCTCTCTGGTGGGCGGAGCGCGCCAGGGGCGGCGCCAGAGGCGCTGCCAGGGGGGGTCCCAGCGCAGATCCAAGAAATCCGCGCGGAGCGCCAAACTTTTATGTCTATGCTGTTTTTTGTCAATGTGATCCTCAGCAGGGGCCAGCATCTTGCGACCCTCCCCATCTCTCAGGGACTGCAGTCACCCCGTAGAATGAGAATGCACGACGAGGATGCAAGGGCCTTGGAAGGCCATGTCGAACCTCTGCGAGCGGGGCGCGGCCAGCGCAAGCGGCCAAGGATAGGCCAAAGGGACAGGATGCAAGGGGCTATCTTGGAAAATCGCTCATCCTTCCAATGCGGGTTGACTGGAAAGGAACAACACACGGCTTACACGTAAACTGTCGAAGCTCGGCGCGGAAGGCGCGCCAGGGGAGCGCTGGGACGAAGCGCGAGGCGCCGCCAGGGACCAGGGGAGGGGGGTGCAACGCGGATCAAAGAAATCCGCGCGGATCTCCAAAGCTCATAATTTCGCTAGGTCGGGCATGTCCTCCTACCGGCAGATTTGGGAAGAAACGTGAAAGTTGTCAAACAACTATGGAACAGAATCAGATGCTGCTGCTTCTGCACACAAGATGCGCAGACTACTTCTGGAACCCTTCTATGGAATACCCCTCCCGCAGGGGGACCTGCCCGAGCGAAGCTCTGCGCTGCCTTCTCCTCGGCGCGCCCCTCCGCGCCTGCCCCCACGACCCGCGGCGAAAGGCGGCCCCGCGGGCGCGCAAGGCGGCCTCGCAGGCCCACCTCGTCCGCCGGCGCGCCGCCGGCCCCCGCCCGGCTGGCCTCGGCGCCGCCGGCGTGCTCCTGGCGGGGCGTGCAGCAGGAGCGCCCGGCGGCCCCCCCTCCTGAAGAGGCCTCCTGGCCGGGGTCGGCAGCAGAGGTCAGGGCTCGAGGTAAGCAGTGCTTTCCGTGTTCGTTTTGTTTTCGTCATCCCTAGTTTTGTCCTTTGCTGCAAAACGAAGTCAAAACGAAAACAGTCCACGAAATCGCCAAGACACCGTTTAGCTCGAGCCCTGGCAGATGTGGTCGGAGGATCGCGCCGCATCGCCGCTGCATCGCCGATGTCGGCGACGTGTCGGCGCAGCCGGCGCGGAGCGGTCTGGGCTGCACATCGAGCCGCATCGCCGATGCGTGCATCGGCGGTGCGGCGCGATCCTCTGATGGAGGCCTCGGATCCTCCACGTCTGTGCGGGTTGCCCGCTGCACACGGGCTTCGGGGGCCCAGCTCGGGGCCGCGCGTCCGAATGGCCTTCCCGGGGCGTATCCTCGCGAGCTCCCCTCCCGGACCTGCGATGTTACTTTTTTTCCGCGCGACGTCTCCGGAAGTCCCGACCTTCTCTCCAGGGCTTGTTTTTCACTCCAAGCACATCTTGGCCGAGTCCTTGTTCGATGGCCCCGGGGCCTGGCGAGGACCCCTGGGAGGCCGAAAGCTGCACAAAACCGTCGTTCACCACATTTTCACGACGCGAGCACATCTGGGTGCTGGACTGAATCCCCCCTCCCGACGTCGCCGCTGGCCAGTCAGGCCACAGTTGGGGGACAGCCTGGAGCATGGACGCACATCATGGAAGCCGGAAGGCCATCAGCCCAAACTCGAGATGGGGGGGTCTGGGACCCTCGAGTTGGGCAGGGCGGTGGCGGTAACTATGGTGGCTTCTGGCTGCACACCGCACTCGGGGCCCAGCTTCGGGACGTGCGTCCGAGTGCACCCCCCCAAGGGGTGCATCCCCGCGCTCCCCCCCAGTTGCACATGAGAAAACAAGATCAAAACAAACAACTCTCGGGGCTCCGCGCGGACCTCGCGGATCGGCGCTGGGCCCTCTCTCCCTGGCGCCGCGGCCGCGCGCCAGGGGCTGCAGAGGAGGCGCCGCCAGGGGACCCCAGCTCCGATCAGTGAAATCCGCGAGGAGCTCCGAAGGTGTATGCTCTTCTTCTTCGATCTTCTGAGCGGCCAATCGCTTTCTAGCTTTTGGAATTCCAGACCAAGATTGGAAAAGGTTCTTCGTCCATGCTTCTGGTCGTGACTCTTGGCCGTACCAACGAACAAAAAACTCTCTCCTTCTCCCCATCTTTCCCCTCCTCCTCCTCCTCCTCCGCCTCCTCCTCCTCCTCCCCATCCTCCTCCTCCTCCCCCCCTCCTTCTCCTCCTCCTCCTCCTCCTCCTCCTGCTCCTTCTCCCCTTCTCCTCCCCCTCCCCATCCCTCCCCCCCGCCCCTGGCCGCCGCTTCTTCTCAGCGTCCTGATACCTTGTCCCACCAGGTCCGATCTTTGCAACATGTAGCATGTGCCAAGCCAAGCGTTATGTCGGGCGTGTCCCCTACAGGAGGATTTTCGACGAAGAATTAACCATACAATTACATACACTAAAAAGGTCAAACAATGCTCAACAAATAATCCCCAGACTATGTTTGGACAATTTTCTGATTATTGTTGAGACTTTTGTTCGTCGAAAATCCCCCTGTAGGGGGACAGGCCCGACTTAAGCCAAGCGTTATCGCCTGGAGTCGGACCTCGGGACCGCCGCAGCTCAACCCGGCTCAAAAAAAGGACGCCGCCGAGAGATGGGGCCCGGGACGTCGACCGTGCTTGTCTACGGCGTTGCATGCTTGTCACAAAAACGAGTCTTAGAGTTATGTCGGGCGTGTCCCCCTACAGGAGGATTTTCGAGGACCCCCAAAAGGTCAAACAATGCTAAAACATGATCCCAGTGCGACCCTACCTAGGAGGTGGAACCCCTAGGGAAGCAGCATTAGTAGTAACAGTGACGCTAAGCTAAAGCTGAGCTAAAGCTAAGCTGAAGCTAAGCTGAAGCTAAGCTAAAGCTAAGCCACAGCTAAGCTAACGCTAAGCTAAAGTTACGCTAAAGCTAAGCTAAAGCTAAGCTAAAGCTAAGCTAAAACTAAGCTAAAGCTAAGCTAAAACTGAGCTAAAGCTAAGCTAATGCTAACCTAAAGCTAAGATACAGCTAAGCTAAAGCTAAGCTAAAGCTGAGCTAAAGCTAAGCTAAATCTAAGCTACAACTAAGCTAAGGCTAAGCTAAAGCTAAGCTAAAGCTAAGCGAACCGCTAAGCGAAACGCTAAGCGAAACGCTAAGCGAAACGCAAAGCTAAAGCTAAGCTACAGCTAAGCTAAAGCTAAGCTAAAGCTAAAGCTAAAGCTAAAGCTCCCAGGGGACTGGGGGGAACCGCGGGGCGGGGACTGGGGGAACCGCCCGGGGCGCTTTCCATTCCCCAGCCCCTTTAAGCTAGAGAGTAAGAACCCTTCTAGGCAGAGCCTAGGTAGGGAAATAGTTTCCAGACTATGTTTGGATTATTTGTTGAACATGTTTTGGGTATTTGTTACTTTTCGTCGAAAGTCCCCCTGTAGGGGGACAGGCCCGACTTAATGCTTGTCTACGACGTTGCATGTTGTCACGAAAACGAGTCTTAGAGGGGCCGGGCGAAGGGTGAACGTGCGCACTGACTTGGCGCGAAAACGGGATTTTCTTTGAGGTACCCGCTCGGAAAAAAAACACCCCCCTCCGTGCAAGTAGACTCGCCGGAAACTAAAGAGCAAAAGCTCAAGGTGGGATGGAGGCCGCCCAAAATGGGCTGGAGCATATGTCGGCGGCGAGCGAGGGGGGAAGAGAGGTGGAGTAGGCCTTCTCAGAAGACGTCGGGGCTTGTCTGACGTCCTCTGGCCTTCTGGAAAGTTTCTGGTGTCTTCGGGGAAGGAGGCTTAGGAAACCTCTTTGAAGGCCAGGGGGCTTTCGAAACTTCTGACAAGGCCCGCCCCTACTCGCTTCCCTTGGGCGCGCCGCCGAGAATGGGCTCGGAGCACACCGCGTCGCCGATGCATCGGCGATTGGACGGGATCTTCTCAGCCCAGCTACCCCGATACCCTGTGGTGGGCCTGTAAGGAAGGCATGGGCGGGAGGGGGGGCCGAGGTTTTCGGATGAGATCGGGCGGGTGGCAATTGGGGGTGGCCTGAATGGGTGGCGAAGAGAGGGGCCCTGAAGTGGCTACTGAAGGTGCCCTTTGGGGGCCCTTTCGTCACACTCCGTGTAGGTCACCCCCAGAACCACCCGCCCAAGACAAGAGATAAGAAACTCGAGGCGCCGACCCTAATGGCGTTGGGGCCCCGTCCTGGGCCTCCGAACGTGGGACCTCCGGCGCCCTCCCACCGGGTGCCACTTGGTGCCGCCAGAGGGAGGAAAAGGATACGAAAGCAGCGACGCACAAGGTGAGGCGTTTCGATATTGGGCAGAAACGGGGGGGGGGGGGGCTGGCTCCAGAGCTCTGCTTTGTGCGACTGTCTGCAGCAGTGCGTCCATTTTGGGGGTGGCTCCACCTGCTCGAAACGGGCTCCAAAACAGCCTAGATCTACTCCATAAGGGGGGGGGGGGAGAGGGGGGGGGCGAGGGGAGGGGGAAGGGGGGTGCGAGGGCCCGCGCCGATCGGCAAAACAACCAACAAAAAAATTAGCCTGGCGAAGGACCCAACAATATGCAGTTGTGAGCACCCTCGTGGTATGCACCGCATTCGGAGGAGCTTCTTATAGGGCCACGAAAAGAGTCGGGCGGTGGCATCGGGGCCTTCGTTGTGGGGCCACGAAACGTGTAAGGGGTGTGACGAAATAGGTGTGGGTGACGCATGCGGGCGGTGGCAATGGGGCCTTCGGTGAAGCTCCCTATGGGGCCACGAAACGTGAGGGGTGTGCCGAAATGGGTGTGGGTGACGCATACGGGCGGTGGTACTGTGGCCGTCGGTGGAGCTCCCTATGGGGCCACGAAGCGTGTGAGGGGTGTGCCGAAATGGGTGTGGGTAACGCATGCGGGCGGTGGCAGTGGGGCCTTACGTTCGTGGGTAACGCATGCGGGCGGTGGCAGTGGGGCCTTCACTGGAGCTCCCTATGGGGCCACGAAACGTGTTAGGGATGTGCCGAAATGTGCGTGGGTAACGCATGCGGGCGGTGGCAATAGGGCCTTCGGTGGAGCTCCCATGGGGCCACGAAACGTGTAACGGGTGTGCCGACATGTGCGTGGGTAGCGATTGCGGGCGTTGGCAGTGGGGCCTTTGGCTGAACTCCCTATGGGGCCACGAAGCGTGAGGGTTTTGCCGACATGTGCGTGGGTAACGCATGCGGGCGGTGGCACTGGGGCCTTCGGTGGAGCTCCCTATAGGGCCACGAAACGTGTGAGGGGTGTGCCGAAATGTACGTGGGTAACGCATGCGGGCTGTGGCAGTGGGGCCCTCGGTGGAACTCCCTATGGAACCACGAAGCGTGTGAGGGGCGTGCCGACATGGATGTGGGTAACGCATGCGGGCGGTGGCACTGGGGTCTTCGGTGGAACTCCCTATGGGGCCACGAAACGCTGTACTGGGCGAGTGAAACGCAAGGAGGAAGGAGGAGGGGAAGGAGGGGGAGGAGGGAGGGAGGAGGAGGAAGGAAGGAAGGAGGAAAGAACACGGGGACCGTCTCCTCAAAACGAGGACCCAACACAGGATGGTTGGGAACTACCACAAAAGGATCCCGACATGGTTCCAGGATCTGGGTTTCGACTTCTCGGAGAGAGGCCTGTCGCCATGGCCGCCGGACGTGATCCCGGACCTCAGTGTCGGACGCGCGTCCCGCGAGAACTCCAACACGTTAAGTCTCCCGCACATCCGCTGGCTTGGTTTTCAACTACTGTTAGGTCGGGCATGTCCTCCTACAGGCAGGTTTTGAAGGACAAAGGAAACATGGTGACAAAATATTCAAAAATAGCAGGAACCTCTTATATATGTATAAATCATCCCCAGGCTATTTTTATACCATGTCTGCA